CTGTTAGATTTGGTTCTTCAAGACATCTGTTCAGTTCTTCAATGACTCATCATAAATCATCATTTTTCAAAACCACCCCTAATGTCCACAAAGAAGAGTTTCTGTGAAAAGCTAGCCTAACTTTTGTTTTATTAAATTCTGAATAATAAGCTTTAAATTGATTTACTTTTCACTTTCTCTGACTCCACAACCTCTGTCTTCTGTTTCCATCTTTCTAACTGTGCTTCATCTTCAGTACTTTTGAAGTATGAATGAGCTGACAAAACATCTAGAATAAAATTTAAAGAACACAAATTAAATGAGTTTGCCACTCCCTCAAAATGGCATTTTCAATTTTACAATAGTTACACAGATCTTATTATTCTGGGGCAGATAACCCACAATCATAATTAAGTTTAGCAACCAAACCTACGGCTGACTGATTTCATTATTTTGCTTGTTGATTCTTTTCATATCAATTTTAAATTGCTTCTAAGCAATATAAAATACAACACAGCCAAAAAGAGGATGAAATTAAAGCACTATCTGAAGCAATAACTAAGAGCACGTTGGTGGAAACAATGTTTTTTTTATCACAAACAGGCAGACAAACAAAGAAATGAAGAAAGTTCAACCAGCTCAAAGCAAAATTTAGATGCTATATAACATCTTGCAAACAAATCACTTGTGGCAGGACTTAGACAATCAGCACATAAACATGTTCTGTCTTGATAGAAAACTATATAACAATATCTTCATATTGTAACAGTTTTAACACCTACCCACCCACTCCATGGTGAAATAGAGATACTCTTTCAAATACGTTTTGAGAAGATCTAGTCTTGTGCAGTACTAACCTCTGAGTGCAACTCTCTCAAAATACACTTCGCATGCATTGTATTCTTCCATGTCCATTGTTGTTTCCAGCCTCAGCATGGCCAGGTTCAGTTTCTTCAATATCTTTTCAGTTACAAAACTGTTTTGAACCACTTCACCAAGATGACCAGATAAATAATCTATCAACAACCTCACCAAGATCAATTGAGATTCACACTTCACCGTAATCACTAAACTTCCTACAGAGATACCTGTAATGATGAACCTCATTTCTTTTGCATATTCCTTAAACATATTGTGCTCCTCAGAGGACTGTGGGGGTGTAGTCTGGACATAATTTTGAAGAAATGATAGAAAGAATTGCTCTTTGAGAGCCGCAAGATGTTCTGTCTGAGCATAACACACACTTGCGAATGTAGCTGATGTAGTAGATGTCCTTGGCTGCTGAACCTCTTGGCCTCTGACAGACTCTGTTGTCCACAATATGCAAGTCGGCATACCGGTATTTTGTTCTTCAGGTTCAAAGTCTTTCACATCAACCTTAATATTCAATTCACCACCTGTTGAATTATAACTGTTACAGTCAAGTTTAATCCTAATTTAACTGGAGTTTTTGACCTCTTACCTATCAAACCATTAAACTGCAAAAACTAATGTTTCGAGGGGAAAAGCTATGAAACAACTTATAACCAGTGAACGATAACAGTTGAATCTGGTTCCTACATGTATTAAGGTCTATCTCCCTAGAGATACTCTGGTAAAAACATTGTTTATTTTTAATCCAATCCTTGGAATAGTAGGATTTTCTCTCAGGAAACTTAACGCACATTGTAATTATTCCCACCCAAAATAAAACTCAACATATTTTGCACACCAACATGTGCAACTTTTTCAATGTAAACAAATCTGAGCATTTTATTTCCAAGCCTTCTGTACAAGACTAATTTTATTGAAGATTACTTGCGATCAATGTATTTTACTAGGCTTAAGATGGGAGAGGGCAGCAACATTAGTGTCTTTCTTAAACATCTTGTCCTTCTGTTTGATTACTATCTTTTACAATTATAGGTAGTCTCATTTTGGATAGGGATTATTGCAGTGATAAAATGAAAGAGGCCATCTCATGATCAGTAGTTGCCACTACACTCAGGTACGTTCTTTTTATTTCCCAGCAGACTTGGCCAAGGTCAAGTAAGTAATTTTCCTCTCTTCAAACATCCTAATGTTTTAATTTCTTATAACACCACATCATCATAATTGGATGCTGGGTGCTGTAGAAGAAAGGCTTCCTCTGGCTTCCTCTGGCTTCCTCAAAAGCCAAAAAGTCACCATGGCAACCTAGCCTCAGTCCATCACAACATGGTGTAGTATGAAGGTAATTCATAGCAATTAAACACAGGACTTTCTTTTCAAGCGGTTGGACATCTTCTAAATCTGTATCAGATGGTCTTTTTCTGCGTGCACCTGATGCTATGGATACCTTCTGACATTCTGCTGGCTCCATTGTGGAAACTGAAGCTGTGCTGCAGGTGTCATGATCTGCAAGTTTCACATGTTCCACGTCAACCTTGATATTTAGTTTCTGATCTGTTGATTTGGAGCAAAGTGTCTAGTAAGTTAAAATTGTACTTTAAATCAACTTATCCATATAGGAATTCAGAACAGGAAGCAAATAAAATCAGATTTAAAAGAAAACATTAATCATGAAGTTATCACTAATACTGATATATTGAAGCATAAAACACACCTTATATCAATTTTATAAAAACCTAACACAAAAAAACCGGTTACTTTTTGTTTCATTGCTCCTTCAACAAAAATTTTGCCAATTAATATTTTCATTGTGAGTACATGAGGATTAATTCAGTTTGGATAACATACATGTATCAAACTTACATCTGACCATCTGTATGGTGTGCAAGATTTATTCAAAGTATATCACTGTCAGTCAATCAATGCATAGTTCATGGTCAAAGGTTAAAGGGAACCTCCACTCTCTTGCAAGAAAAAAATTTGGTGAGTATAAATTATGTCGCAGGCCTTCTCCATGAAATATTTGATCAGCTTTCAACATTCTTCATCTTCTACTTCACTTTCTTCTCTCTCTTCACTTGAAAAGTGCTCGAACTCCAACTGATAGAGAAGATCTTGACACACTCACAACAATTTTTCTTCAGACAACAGCAAAAATATAGCATCAACAACAGTGAAGCAACATACCAAGAGTGCACTGAGCAACCATAAAATGTCATCCGCCCGGAGGGCACAGCCCACTTATCAAGATGGCGGCCACAGGAAGTTCAAAGTGCATATAAGACCCTTCTTTGGAAAATTATACAAAAATCTGATTGCTTGGTGAGGCAAATTTTTCAGCCAGATCTATTGAGAAGTACATACGGAACATTTTGAGCGTTATTTTTTAAAAGAGTGAAAGTTCCCTTCAAAAAACTTAGTTTACTATCATAATACTGTTTCGTCTTCCCCTGCTACTACTAGCTTAAAAGAATCTTCAGTTTTGTAATAAATGAATTCTTTCATTCCCAAGATCTCATTGTAATTCTCCTTACTGTCCACCATACAATTCTGATGACATCACATGCCTGTTTGTATTGTAGAGAAAAAAATTGTTTTGGTCCATCATAATTAAGTTAAAGGGTTATAATTAATTCAAAAAGTGGATTCTATGAAACTGTGAAAAGAAACTAGAAATTGTCCAAATTCCATTATGTCCAGATAAGTCAACAAAAGAATCACATGCTTTCAGTGTTAGTTCTTAAACGTCTTTTGAATTATTGAATTATTTGAAGTATTGTAATATATACACTATTTCACAGTTCTGTGGTACAGACAGATGAAGGATGGAATCAGAAAAAACAAACTTGGGATGCAAGATTTTGTTAAAAAAAAGCCAGCACTTTATAAGAGTTGAAAGAATTTAACAGCATTCTTGGTTGATTTATTTCCT